GTGTGTGTGTGCGTGCGTGTGTGTGTGTGTGTGTGTGTGTGTGTGTGTGTGTGTGTGTGTGTATGGAATGTTTATTGATTATTCTCTTTCTTGTATTTCAACAAAATTATTTGTTCGCCTATTGTAATAATCTGCATTTTTTTTAAATCGTCCTTTCTTACTTTGTATTCTTAAAATGTGTATTACAAAATTGATCTCACAATTGAAACACTTCCGATCTTCATTTAGAAAAAAATCACCGTCTTTTGTTTTCATAATTTGTAATCACGATACATCGCTGAATTTTTCAAATATCTGAATGAGTTTCCTCATGGTTATTTTTATGTTAATAAATATTACACTCGAGTACGCCTTCGTTCTGAAGAACATTGTTTAAATTATCTAACACATATCACAGAATCCACATTCTCTTTTAGAAAAAAAAAAGAATTATACAAATAGCACGGGATACAAAAGCATTAGGGTACAGGTAGAATTATACAAATATGTCGTCATGACATTAATACAAACTAAAGTCGCATTTGTTGTGCTTGTCGAAGATTGAAATAACAAATTTTATGCTCGCATTGTTAGATATGAATAGTGTTCGACGGTTTTTGGTACAAAGAAATGTCGTTCACTACCTTAATTTTGCTCAATGTTTTTTTGGGCAGTGATCATTTTTGCGCTATATTTTTCAGTTCATCACAGAACAGGAATAGAATGAACATTTATTTATTGTAATGTAGTAAAAACAATACATTTTGTTGCAAATTTAAAAATAAAAGTCTAGAAAAAATTAAATCATGAACGATATATATTCATTATACTACAATAATTTTTTCTCAAATTTTATCTTTTCATAAATGACGCTTTTATATTTCTGAATTTTGTTTTATATAATATACGATAAAAATTGTTTTTATATCTTAAGAAATTAAATTTTTAATTTTCTTCCATTTTAAAAAAGTTAAATTAAAATAAATAACGAAACATTTTTATTTTTGATAATCATTCTTTAACAATAAAAAAAATAATATAATTTCAAAATTTGTTGGATATCTCTATTTATTATATTCTTCAATAGAATGCTATTGCTATTCATTATGCAACTGCTGCATCCTGTAGTAGCGAATAAATGAAATTGCAAAACACCTTGCGATCGCTGCCCTTCATACACACAAGTTTGCGATCAGTGTCACATGCAGACTCAAACTGTGAATCCTGAATAACATCCACTTAACGTATCGGTATGGATAAATTAATGTAATAAAAGTTATGTAATACTAGGTTGGTTATTAGCTTTGCAATGAGTATGTTACAGTACTATACGAATATTCTTAATTCTTTTTAATCGACATTATCTGTATGGTACAGTGACACGTTTTGGAATCAGTTTCGATGAGAACATCTCTTCTGAGATATCTGCAAATAAAGAGATACAGTGGTTTGAGCACGAAATTTTTATGTTACACAATAAGGTACATAAAATGTTATTTATATCTTGTCTATACATTTATATGTTTTTTATGTATCTTATCTTATTAAATGTATTAGTATTACAATTATTTTTTTAAATTATAAAATATACAGGGTGTCCTAAAATAATCGCCAAATATTTCGTAGGCAGATAGAGCGGATTAAACTGAATCAAAAAGTCCTGTACCATTTTGCAATTCGCAATAGTTAACAAAATATTAATTACTAAAAATTACCGAAAATTAATCTTCAATAATTTTTTACTCAAATATCAACTTTGCAGAAAAACTGCAAGAAACGAAAATTGTTTATTTTCGTTTTTATAGAACTTTAAGAATTTTTTCAGAATTAAAAAAAAATTTTTTAATACCTCATGGAAATGCAGAATTAAAAAATTTTTTACGGTTGGTAAAAATAAGAAAATGCAGTATTAAAAAGTTGATGAAAAATTCTGAAAAAATTTTGTTCATGAAATATTTTAGCGATTATTTTAGAATATCCTGTATATGCAAAAATCATTTTATATTTGTTTAATAAAGATAGAAAAAGATTAAAGCAAAAAATATATATCAATATGTTATATATTATTACTTTTACACAAATTTATTAAATTAATAAAATAATCAATTTTATATTTTGATAAAACTTAACTTCTAATAATAAAATTTCTTTAATTAAAATGAAATAATTCATTTTTGACAATAAAAGGCATAATTACAAAAATTATATTTATATTTATTCGTTCTATATTTATTATTAGATAGTTCATTCTCTCGTTAAATCATTTGCTCCAATGATGCTACACAGCATATATTTAACGTCAGTTAAGCAATCTTACCTTCATCACTGACATAAAGCGATGCCGAAGTGACCAAGGGACTATTGGTTGAGCAGGGTGTTAGTCACCTCAGAGATGGACAGCAGAGGACTCCCGGCGTCCGGTTTGGAATCTGTGGGACAGTTGGGCCCATTCCCGCCGCCGCTGCTGATGATCCCACTACGTGATGGTGCGGAGGGTGGTACAAGACGTTGCTGTTGTTGTTGCTGGTGCTGTTGTCCACTCCGATGCCCATGCCCATGCCTGCCGCCACCCCCGTCCCCGTTCCCGCAGCTGACGGTGGCGTGCTGCAACCAAATGGACGGTCTCCCCGTTATCTTACGTGTACTAAATTAGATTTCTCCCATTACACAAATAGTAGCATAGCACATCGACACACAAATTTGTTTTTAATGTTATTGCGAAAGCAAGTGCTTATTTAGTAATTTAACTTGGCTGAATTTAAATCCGACATCAAATAGTTTGCTTAGAAAATGATCGACTATTCGATTATGTTTTATTTATTTCTTAAATGTGCTTTTCTTGGAAAATAAGATTGAATTAGATACGATTTGCTAATCACGTAAAAGATTATCATTATTTTTTTTACGTAATTTGCGTGTAAAACATTTGACTTATTCTTTGATGACGTTATCAAACAACATGTTGATAGAAAAGTAATACATCTCAGAATTAGCAACTTTTCAATAGAGCATTTTTAAAGATTTTGTATTGGAACATTTTAATTAGAATATAGTAATTTCTACAATATATAACTTTACTTTCTTTCCATGTTATATTTCCGATAAAAATTATTTATTGCCTTTGA